TTTCTGTTTTATTTCGTTTGGCTGTTTGGATGAACTGATGGATTCTGGATGGACGTTTTGGTTCCACCAGACTTCTCATCCAGAAAGGCGGCCTTTGGCATTCCCATGGGAACAAGGCAAGAAATTAGAGAAGAATTTAATCTTGGAGAGGCTTTTGTGGGTCTCTCTTTCACGGATATGACCAAATTACAGACTTCTTTCAGCCACCGGTTTCACACAGCCAAATGAATTTAAGCATAGAAAAAAAAAAGAAAAAAAACCCCACAATTTCCTCACTAGAGTTTAGATCTAGTATGTTGTTGAATCTTATAAAACCTCGCCCCATAAACTTGTGCATATTTCACCCCAGAATCGAAATATATAAGTAAGAAATGTCTTTAAAAATTAAGTTCATTAAGCAAAAATAAACAGTTTCTACACTGCAAAAAATATATATTATTTAAGTTGTATTTATACAACATGTTTTTAACTTTTAATTTATGCTTGTATTATAGTCATTTTTAATAAAAATGGAAATCTGATCACAACTGAGATTAATGGGAATTGCAAAACCCTCAAATGTCAAACAATAATGACAGTTTGCATTGTGTGCAAAATGTGATAAATTGTCATGGAAATTGGTCCTAAAATAAGCTTCAATTTCTTAATGCAAAATAGCATTTTTTACATTTCATATTTTGATTTGGGGGTAAAATCTGCATGCTTTTGGGAAATTCACCCAAGAAGTGGAAAGCCCCTTTTGCTGGGCACAAAGGCATTCACAGTAAACTGCTCCAGATGTTTCTGTAACTGCATACCCTCTTCCCGTCTCTCTCCAGCACTGGAATAAGGGAAATGGGTGGAGGTTACAGTAGACAGGAGACGTGGGAGAGGCAAAGGCTATAAAATCGAGCAGAGAAGTTAACCCTTTACATTAAAGAGGAGAGGCTTAACCCCCCACCAACACAAACATCCCAACTCCCCTTGCCTTTTGTGTGTTGCATACAGATGCCTTTTGTCCCGATACCCCTCTGGGCTATCTCTACATTACAGGAGATGTCCCAGAAGCCCCCAGGACACCCAAACATGCTTACACAGAGCCCACAGTGAGGCCCAGTTCTAGTTTAGACATCAGAGAAATGATGGCAGCACAGCTAGATGATAGAGATTTTAGAAGGTTTGTTGACAGCAAAGCAGTAGATGGTGACGATAAGTATGGAGTGTCTCCTTAGATTGATAGAGACTGACAGTAGATTGAGCACAAACCAAGGTGAGAGACCTGGTTGAGATGAGATGGATGTAGAAAGTTGGGTCGATAAAAATATGAGATGGATAGAAAATTAAGAGAACGACAGTGTTTATGATTAGGAAAAGCAGAGCTGGGTTCAACAGGATGTGGTACACAGTGACTGTGATTCACCAAGTAGGACGTTCCTGAATCAACATACACTGTTCCCACAGTCATGGAAGTGTCAGGGGATTTTAAAATTGTGTTTTCGTAGTCATAGAATTGAATAAAATCTAAAAAGTAATGGGAAACATAGTTAATATATACTTTCTCTACACAAGAACAAAATATTTTAGAGTAAAAGTGGCTTGCAAGCAGTGTTAACTAAAATTATTTTCAGTCATTGAAATAGAATTGAAATAAAATAAGTTGTCTTTGAAGCACTACAGTTACTAAAACTAAACTGAAATAAATGAAGTAAAAAAATAAAATTCAAAAATAAAAGCTAAACAATGACAACAATACTAAAACTATAAATGCATAACATAAACATAAAATATATAAAAAATAATCAAAGATTGTTAAAATATTAATAAATATTATAATAGTGTAAAACTTTTTTATTTTTATTTTAAGGCATTTTTAATGAATCGCTCCAATTCACACATTGGTCTGAATGATTCATTAATGGCTTTTTAGTCTGAATCAAAATGATTAAAAAAAAAAAAATCCCAATCCAAGAATCTCAAACAACTGGAAAGATCATTGAAAAGTCATGGGAATTCATTGAAAGGTGAAAAGCCAGAACATCTTGGAACAGCGCCAGCCAATTGGATTTTAGGGTTTAATAGCATTATTAATAACATTAACATTAAAAACGCCTTTATCAAACTTATCTTTTCCCACTGAATTTAGGTGTAGTCCATTGTTTGGAAGTAATTTTTACTTTACGTGAATGTTGTTCTAGCATTAACACCAAGATGTTGATCCAGGAACCTCCTCCTTGGTAAATTTACTGTGAGCTAGGGGAGATGTAGCATGACTGGTATTGGTTCTGTGGTTTAAAGCACAGCTAAAAGCCCTCCAATCTCTCTCGTTCTCTCTCTCCACATTGTATACCAAGCGGTCTGCCCAAGAGAGGAACAAATGCAGTTCAGCAGGAGTTGGGGTGGCAGGGTGGGGGAGGTGCTTCAAAACTCACAAGTCTCCATTGTTTCTTGTTACGAAGTCCCTACATTTTTCTCCCTTTCATTTTTTTGCAAAACTTTTGGTTTTATGAGGAGATTTTTCTAAAACCTTCCAATTGAACAATAATGGCACAGGGCAGAAAAGCAGTGAATGTTAGATCTTGGGAAAGTTTGACCCAGATGTTTAATCTGATTGGGCAAGTTTAGGTTTTGTAACCAAAGAGAACTTCTTTATAAAAACTTCTGTTGATTTACTTGCCAAACTAAATAGCTTATCAAAAGTTGAACAACGTGAGCGAGGCGTGACCAACTACTTCCCAATGTGAAACCGCTTTCTTGTACCATTTTTTTTTTTTGATGGATTTTGTATATCAGATTCTTCCTGATGTGTGAGCTGTTTAGTGAACGCAGCCACATCGAAAAGGTCAGAATGAAAAGTGCCTCATTCCCGTTCTCTAATGAGAGGATCAGGTGTCTCATTTCAGGACAGAGAGGGAACGCTAGAGTGAGCTCAAACTGTCCTCACTAGCAGAACACAGCAGACTCTGCAGTGCGGCTCAAGCGTAAATACTGAGATTTCTCTGATGCATAATTTCATGAGTCACCTGTTGACATCACATTTTAATGTGTGCGTGTGTATCCAAGGTCAGTTGGATGCATTCTATCAGAACCCCAGTGTGAGGTCTCAAAATGTTAGAACATTCTGAGAATGTTTCAGATGCATTTCATGAAGGTTAGAAGTCCATTTTGGCAGCAGATGCAGATCTTTGGCTGTCTTTCACCTTCGGATGGCAGCGTGGTTGGCATGGCCAGAGTTTCTCAGTCCCACTCGTGCCAATGAACCATTCTTTTGTGAGTGTAGTGTTTAATAGCCAAGCGCCGGTCGCCATTTTACTGGCCTTTTGTAACTGTGGTCTGAAAAAACACTACTTTTATTATCTTAATTAATGTCTGAGATAATTTCCCCTTTTCCTATTCATGGTTTTAATAAGGTTTTGTTTTTTGCATGTCTAAGTGTTTAAGTAATTTAAATGTGCCCTTTTAACGTGTAGCTCTTAATTTGATTATTTTACCCACATCCTGTATTTTGGTCTGAGTTTAATAGCTGTGTTTTTCGAAAAATGAAGAAAAGAATCTCCGCAGTACGGAAATAAATCTTGAAAATTAGTTTGTTGACCTCTTTTCTTTTTTTCTCCCCCCTCTTGCAATACCCAACAATTATAATCACTCCCGTTCTCCAAAGTCCCCTCCCTGAGAGATCCAACTTCCAAGACAACATTCAGATCCGGTGCATTTTGTTTGCCTTTATTATTCCCTGCATTTTGTCCATCTATTCTATTCAAGTTGTTCCACAGTCACTGATGGAATGAACTTCCAAGTTTCATCTGAACTGCAATCCATTGCAATCTTGTTTTGGAGCACTTATCTAACTAGATAACCAAATTTAATTTCTCTTAAAAAATATTTTTTTCTATTATTTTTCACTTGGATAGTTGACTGAAGATTAGTCATTGCCATATTTTTCCTGTCTATAATGTGCATGCAGTTTCATGATTCTCATCAGAATCAGGAATATTTATATTTAGAAAAAATGAATTTGTTACACAATGAAATACAATATGAAGGAAAACGGTAATTAAATTGTTATATATATATATATATAAGTTTGGAAAGTATTTGAAAGTCTTTTATGCTCATCAAAGCTGTGTTTATTTGACTAAAAATACAGTAAGATATTCATATTATGAAATATTTATAACTATATATATAAATATATAAACTTTTTTTTAATTTGAATATATTTTAAAATATAACTTATTCCTATGATGCAAAGCTGAATTTTCAGCATCATTACTGTCACATGATCCTTCAGAAATCATTCTAATATGCTGATTTGCTGTTTAAGAAACATTTCTCATTATAATCAATGTGATAAACAGTTGTACTACTTAATATTTTGTGGAAATAGTTCTTCAGTAAAAAGAATAGCATTTATTTTAAATCAAAATCATTTTATAACTTTATACAAGTATTTTCTGTCACTTTTGATCAATTTAAAGCATCGTTCTGAATTCAAAAATCTTTAAAATCTTACTAAATCCAAATTGTTTTCAAAAAACTGTCAAAAAGACTTTCAGGCATGTCATCAACTAACCACTTCCACTTCCTCACTAAAGGTGTACTTTTTTTTTTTTTTTTTTTTTTTTTACAAGAAACAAAAAAAATATTAAACGAATTGCTTCTGTTTTCTCATTTGTAAGCTACTTTGGATACAAGCGTCTGCTAAATAAATAATGTAAATGCCAATCTGTGAGTCACATCCATCTGTAGGAAAGTCCTCCCTTCTGGCCCACATTTCTGACCTCTAGTTTGCCTCTTATTAATAAATTGCACTGCATTTGTTTTGTGCAGCTTTTTGCGGCTAACCACAAGTTACATGCAGCCTATTTATTTCTCAACCAGTCTAGGTCCCCATGTGACCATTTTGCACCCCTGACCATGGCCAGGAAGAGGAGTGGCCACTGTGTGGAAAAGTGTGAAGATAACTGCCTTGTATGTAAATATGGCAGCTGTGATAATGCAGACTATCTGGCTCTTTGAACCCAGGGTGTCTTCAGCATGTCGCTGCATGTCATTTTGGGTATTCTGTGTACGTGTGCATCCTTTACATCTGTCGTTTGATGCCTGAGTTTGCACATGCCACGGTTTGTTTTGTTCATCACTGTTGTTATCACCCAGCCCTGAGTCGTGAGTCTGTTCTTCTCGTATTTTATGTCTTCCTTTGGGGGAGGGGGAAGGGGAGTTGACCAATTGCTAGCAGCTGTTACTCCTTTCACAATAGGGCCGCCTCTCGAGCCCAGTGTGTGCGAGTGTGACTGAGAGTTATGTTATTAAACCAGGCACACTGCTGCTCGACTTCACCCCTCTTCGCTTGACAGTACTTTCCCTTCAGGTATGAGACTCTTTTGACATGTTTTACAGTTCTTTTCTGTGTCTGTTCACATATTCTGCCAGTTCTCCTTGGGTTAAAGGGCTGCTGTGCGTTGGAAGACTTCGAATGTTACATTTGGGGACAGTTACTTTGTCTGATGTGATGTGAAGCTGGTTCTTTTTGTGTTTTATGTTACCTTTTTTAATTGTCTTAGTTCATTTTGAGAGATTTGTTATTTTCTTTTCTTAATTCTACGTCTAAAGAGAAATTCGATGCAGTTTCATAAAAGAGATGGACTTTGGTTTATGGTTTAATTTTCAGACAATACTCAGACTGAGATTGTACGCAGAGTAAAAGTTACTGGAACATTTTCACATACTGAAACCAGTTCACACGAATAGCATTCTTCTCATTCCACATATGACAGAAAAAGAATAGCAGGAATTCTGAAGACAAAAAACTCATAATAAAAGCCTTTGTGCCTCTGAATTCAGCTTTATTCTATGGTATTTGAGACCAAGTAGTTGAGAATTATATGTAATTACAGCAATTTTTCTGTTCCTTAATGGGATTTATCACTGCTAACTGTGGCTTGTGAACCTTCAAGGTATTTTAATGATTCGTGAATGTTGAATGACACACCTAAGGCCATTTTGGAAAGGTTCTGCTTAAATGACTTTCAAATAGTTGTTAATGTCACTATATCTGTATTAACAAACCTTCAGACCTGATTTTGTTTTTCCACTAAGCGATATATATGATATATTATCCTTTTGATATTTGCTTTTTCAAATGTTGAAATAAGATTTGTGGCAACTCAACATTTTTTAACTTTTTTCCCCCCCCATTTCCTCTACAATGGACACCTAGACTGAAGAAACATAAAATTCCTCATATTTGAACAACACTTATGAATTGAATGATAGTTGTATAGTCACTTTGAAGACAAATAAAGTTATATTAATACTGTTAATAATAAACTGTAATGTTCATCATAAAACATTAACATTAGAATTTGTTTCTCTGTATTTTTGTATTTATAAAACAACAATAGTGTATTTTATTTCTTTGAAATGCTTGCATTATGTCATGAGTTTTCTGCTGATATTTTTCAAGTCCTGATGTTCATTGTGTTGGACATTAACTTAAAGGGGTCATATGATGCTTTTTTAATCTATGCACAATCAGCTTGTAACACTCCAAAGAGAAAGGAAAACTTGAAATCGCATCATATGACCCCTTTAAAAAAAAAACCTTGAAAGATCCCCTAAAATAACTTTTAATATTATCACTTGATAGTATCAAGATTATAATAGGTACAAGTTGATGAACATAAATTAGCATATAAAAGGTCCTGTCTAGTCGGTTAGCCATGCTTGTCTTTTGTGATGCCTGAAGCTCGATCAGATCAGAAGTTAGGGGTCATGTATTCATTGTGATTGGTTGATCAGGGACCAATCAGTGAACAGACAGTAATAGTATTACAAAAATGAAAAAAAAAAAAAAAAAACACAAGATTTCAGTGGTCCAAGGGCTCTGACGGGGTTAATTTGATTCTCCTTTAGTGAGGGCCTGACTGTGAACTCTGAGAAAAGTGGGCGTCAGATGTTTTAAAACCTTTCCTTTTGTTAAGTGCTAAATAGGCCTACTTTTTGCTTACTTGGCTGCATTCGTACAAATATCTAAACATTTTTAAATCAAGATACATTTACTTGAGAAGCAAAATTACATGATTTTAAGTCATGTTTTCTGAAAAACCTTTTAAAATTAAGAAAACAAGACCTAATATGCATTTCGCTTCTTATGTACGTTTATTTTGATTTAAGAAAGTTTAGATACTTGTACTGGAAAACAAGACAAGAAAATCACTTTTTGCAGTGAAATGTGGTCATGGGGAAATATTTCCTTGGGGAGTAATGCTGGCTTCCTAGAAGAACCGCTACTCGGGGGAGAGTTACTAACAAGCAATTTTACCACAGTATCTCAGGCTTTCCCTCACCGTCTCCTTTATACGACTCTGAAAACAGCCACATTTTCCGTCTGTATGGTAATTTCATGCTCACTCTTTCTGCCTTTCACCCGTTCCCCCCTCTTTCTTCCTTTGTCAAATCCTGCAGTCTTTTTGACACTATTCATTAGCATCTAAAACGCTCTTTGAGCAAAGGTGCACTTTGAAACCAGACTCACATCTTCCTGGTTTTCCAGGCCCTTTAATTAAAACAGGATTACTGTGTAGAAACCGCCATGTGGAGTTTCACTCTCTTGTTTTTTTTCCTCCTCTCACAGAAGTCCTGGTGGTGCCGGGAGACTCCCACGTGTGAAAGCCGGAGCTCAAAACCAACTGATTAACTGGCAACGACCCTCCCAACCCTTTCCCTTGAGGAGCACTTTTTAAACCCCAGTTTCATCAAAACACTGCTTCAATCCTTCCTCAGGAGCACGCTCATGTGCTTACAAGGTGACCAGACGTTCTTGGGAACGCAGACTTGCAACACAAGGAAAGAAGCACGATGACATTCCGGCTGCCCTCGAGGCTTCTGCTGTGGTTCATTGGGTTGTTGGGTGTCGCGTTATTGACATTATTCGTGGTTTGCGTGACTACGCAGATTCCGGTGCCATGGCAAGTGATGAGTCTCCAAAGTAAACATTTCAGGTAAAGTGAGAACTCTTTCAATTTTATGTGGACATCTTTACAAACTTGTGAAGAGGATGTTATACTATAGATTCTTGATTGACCCAGATGCCAATAAAGAACCTTTAACATCCATGGAACATATCCATTTAAAAAAAAGTTATTTATAGTGGAAAAAGGTTTGTCATGTTCTTTAAATATTCTGCTTAGTAAGAAAAAAATAGTTCACTAAAAGGTTCTTTGGGGAACCCAAAATGATTCTTCTTTGGTATTGCTTCGGAAAAAAAAAACCCTGAATTTATTAAAGGAAATTATAGTGTTTTTATAGTGTTATAACATACCATTCTTATTATTAAATATCGTTAGCATTATTATTATTATTTTATGTTTTTTTCCCCAAATGTAATCTATTCCAGTGATGGCAAAGCTGAATTTTCAGCTATGTGTGTGTGTGTTTACAATTGAAAAATGTACATTTTAATAATATTTAATAATATTACTGTTGTTATTGAGACTTCTTTCCACATGTGTAATTTTCTTTCTTTTAAAAGGGAAGTTAATGTGCTAATACAATTAAAAAATATATATCTTAATTGACTGCCAGCCCTATTTTAATGCATGAACAACAAAAGTTACGGAGGAAGTTGGATTAAGGTTAAGGTTGAGCTGTTTTTCCATTTGTCAGTTAGTCAGTCATTTAGTTAGTTAATGATGTCACAGTCCGCACGTTGTCTCCTGAGATTCTTGATCACGGTGCACACTTCCTCTGATAATCATTTCAGCATGAAGCCATGTTTGGTGTTGCTATGGAGACGAGTGTCACAAGCTAAGAGAGTGATTTTATGTTTTGTTGTCTCTCTGTTTTCGGTAGTGAGGGGAGGATTTTACTTTCAATTAATTTGCCCAGCACTTTCCACAATAGCCAGCCTACATATTGTTCCAAAACAGCTTCACAAATAATAGAGGCTTATAAATGTCCCAATGAGCAGCTAAAATTGGTAGCGGAAGGAATAAACTCCCTTAGATGTTTAAGTAGTTAGGCGGAAACCATTTGGGATATCACCTTTCCTTAGTTATCTGCTTTGTTCTCCAGTAAGGGACAGAAATGAACAACGTGAGATCTACGGCTTTGGGTTTGCTCCTTTAGTTCAGTCAGGCGTAGAATCGCTCGGCTTTGGCTTTAACTCTGGTGAAGTGTATTCTCTAGAGAAGTGCACAATCATTGCTCTGAAAGTAGGGTCTGTTATGTGAAATGTAGCCCAGATGCTTTTAAAAGGGCAAAGCTCTAATTTTAACACAAGCATGGTTGAAAAAAAACAAAAAAAAAACAGAAAGTCAGGAAATGGCACAAACTAGCTGGCATTAAAACTTGTGGTTCTGTTATTAGTAGTTTATGGCATTTCAAAATTACCCTTTGAAAACCTGTTGTACCAGTAACTCTATAATTATGTTTAATGTTTGAGAATAATGAATCGAAAATGAGCTGTAGTTCACACAAAAAAGAAGCTCTTAAAATGTTCTCACCCTCAGGCCATCGAAGATGTAGATGTGTTTTTGCATTACATGTCTTGAACCTCTGCAGTGAATGGGTGCCGTCAGAATGAGAGTCCAAACAGCTGATAAAAACATCACAATAATCCACACGACTCCAGTCCATCACTTAGCATCTTGTATAGCGAAAACCTGCATGTTTGTTATAAATTCATCGTTAAGATGTTTATAACTTCAAACCATTGATTCTAACTAAAATACAAGTCCTCTATCTGTCATATTGCTTCCTCCAGTGGAAAAAGTTGACTTCTCTGGATCAGGAGAGAAATATGCACAGAACAAGCACTGTTTATAAGTGAGAACAGTCCAAACAGTTCTAAACAAATACTGTATGTCAGTAGATTTTGATGTGAGAGGACAACAGGGGAAGAAGAGGTATCATAAATTATAGACTCATATTTTGGCATGATGGTTTAAAGTTAAAAACATATAAATAAAGGATTTTTTCTTACAATAAGGTTTTTTTTATTTTAATTTTTTTTACTCGTGGACTGGAGTCATATGGATTACTGTGATTATTGTGATGTTTTTTTATCAGCCGTTTGGACTCTGCAGAGGATCCATTGGTGAGCAAGTGATGTAAGGCTAAATTTCTCCAAATTTGTTCAGATGAAGAAACAAACTCATCTACATGGCCCGAGAGTGAGCAATTTTTTTATTTTTGGGTGAACTATTTCTTTATGAATTTTGAAGTATGATGCCAGTAATTCAGTTTCCTTGTGCTTTCATTTGATTTATACCTCTGCTTTATATATAGTTTTTATTTCCTTTTCTCTTATCAGTCATCTGCTTTTTATTGTATTGAACAATGAGGCACTTGCCCCAGTTATGAAGTCATCAGACGGCTGTCATACCTGTTTTCATTAAGATGTGTTTGCTGATGTATCAGATATCAAGTCAGCTGTTTTCTATGGCAAACAGTGAAATATTGATGTATGATTCTGTGATTTCCCTGTTCCTAATGGCCCCTTTAATTGAGCTGGTGGTCTTTGGCTTCATTCTTGCTGTTAGGAAGTGAAAAACATTGCTTATTTTTTATTTTCTTGCCTGCAGGTTTTTTTCTGACAAGAATGACAGCAGTTCTTTGGAATATCAACCGTCTGCTGAGAATGAACTGGACACTGCTGAAGAGCTGGGGCAAAATTCCTTGCAGAAATCAGATGTTCAGAATTCATCAGAGTCAGGAAATGATGCAAAGTCTGATCAAGCAAAGTCAATCACAAACTCCTTAAAACCAGTGGCAAAACCCACTGAGCTGGACTTTTTTGGTGACCGGTATGCCACAGATGACATTCCTTCACAAACAGTGAGTGTGTTTTGGGCCTAGTATTATGTACTATCGTGTCTATGTTAGTATCGTGAGTGAGTGCAGAAGCCACCTGCTTAAAGTCTGTTTCATTGAAGTGTTTGTACAAATGTAATGGTCATTCAAATTCAGCAAAAAGCCAGCGGATGTCCGGAGAAAAAGCAACGCAGTATGTAGTAAGCTAAGGTTAGTCAGTCACAACAGAACAGCAGCAATTTATTTAGGTGACACTGAAAAATATTAAATTAAATGTCCCAAATTAAAACAACCAAACATTACAACTCAACTGTGACCATAGTGAAAACCATCTGCTCTATAATACAAAAAAATACATAGCCTATTGTTCAAAAGGTGTTCTTTTTTTGGGGGGAAAGAAATTATTTTTATTCAGCAAGAATGCATTTATTTGATCAAAAGTGACAGTAAAGACATGTACAAAAGAATAAATGTTGTTATTTTAAACTTTCTGTTCATAATAGAATCCTGAAATAAAATGTATTATGGCTTCCACAAAAAAAAAAAAAACTGTTTTCAACATTGATAATCATAAGAAATGTTGCTTGACTGAAGAATGTTGTTGTATGGCATCGGGGCGAGTGGCAGCGTAGAGTGAGAGATCCCAGACAAACGTGTTATTCTCCCCGAATTTAGTTCATTATACTCATTGAACATTTCAATACTACATTGAAATTAACGAGGAAACATGGAGGAGGAGAAGCAACGAAAGGCTAGAAGCAAAACATCCCAAAAACCTGAGAAAAATAAGAAACAAACAGCGGAAAATGAAGACAACGCTGGCGAGCACGAAGCAGAGGATACCTTTCAAAGTAGTATTGGCGCTATATACGCTGAAATTAAAGCTATCCGATCGGACGTAAAAACGGAGTTAAACAATTTTCACGAGATTCTTTCCAGAGACATGAAAACTGATTTGGCAAATTTGAGAACAGACATCAACCTGAAACTGAACAGATTTGAAAGACACGATGGGTAGATTGGAGGAGGCTGAACAGAGAGTGACGGATTTGGAAGAATGGAACACCGAAGCTAAAGAAGTGCTGTGTCAAACCCTTGACATCCAGCAAAAAATGCAAACAAAACTGACAGATCTCGAAGCAAGATCTCGACGAAACAATATACGACTGTATGGAATTCCGGAGGAGGCTGAAGGGGACAACATACAGGAGTTTATTGAAAGTTTCATCAAGACGGAACTAGCCCTCCCCGACACTGAACTTGGGATACAACGCTGTCACAGGGCGCTCGGCCCCAAACCACCGCCGAATGCTAATCCCCGATCGATTGTGGTTTACTTCCTAGAATATAAAATCAAAGAATTGGTGCTTCGTTCAGCTTGGAGGAATTGAGGAAAAGGGAAGTTTACTTGAAGGGGAAACGAGTGTACTTTGACCAGGACTACCCCGCTGAAACTCAAAAGAAGAGGAAGGCATTCGCGCCAATCAGGAAACTACTCAAAGAAAAGGGTCTCCGTTTCCAGACACCTCCTCCCGCTAAGCTTCGCGTTTTTTTCGAAGATGGTCCAATTGTTTATAACAGCGCAGTAGAGGCGATGGAGGATCTAAAGAAGAAAGGATTGACAACGGCCAGCATCAGAGAAGATCATACCACCGCATCCATGGAAAGGCTGAGTAAAATCTCTTGGGAAACGGCGGGCGCAAGGCCACGACACAGCCGAGAGACACATCAAGAGAGAGCGCGGAAAAGACACCAGGATTTCCGCCGGGACAGTGGTGATACTGATTGACTTTTTCTCAGGGTAAAATTAGTTAAAAATAACTTTATAGCCAAGATTGAACCAGAACCAGAATGATAGTTTAATACAAGAAGGACAATATTCATACAAAGGCTATGAATCTTGAGTTTGGATAAAATTATTTTCATTATGGTTAATTTAAGTTTTTAGCTTAACAGATTCATAAATGAAAAACGTTTTTGTCTGGGAGTTCTAGGAAGAATTATTCTACTAAGTGCACTGATTTATAATATCGGATTGCACTGGGGAGGCCCTTCGTTAATCGAAGATTTTCCTTTCCAAACAGAAGTTACTTAAGAAGAAACTTTGGTCATGAAAGTTACTGGTTTTTTTTTTTGGTTGCACATTTCATATTTTTCGATGCTGTGTTAAATGTGTTACAACGTTAAGGTCAACCAGGGCTTACAGTATGAAAGTGTATGATGATAAATGTTGCAGCAAGAATATAGAATAATATCACTTAATGTTAACGGGTTACAAAATCCTATCAAACGAGGTAAACTCATAGCAAAGATGAAAAGAGAGAACCAACATATAATTTTTTTGGCAAGAAACTCACCTGGTACAAACTGAACATGAGAAACTGAAACGGTTAGGATTTAGAAACACATTTTATTCATCCTATGCTAAGGGACATGCTAGAGGAGTTGCAATATTAATTTCGAATAAGGTGACTTTTCAGGCTTCCAGCCAAATTGCTGATAAAGAGGGACGTTACATTTTGGTAAAAGGGATCCTTGACTCTAGGGAAGTAACATTTATTTAATGTTTATAGACCACCAGGACAGGATAAAATATTTATTAAGAAAAAATTTGATTTAATAGCTTCAGAAGTATCAGGTATTCTTATTTGTGCTGGGGACTGGAATGTACAGTTGCATCCTACCCTAGACTCTTCAAATCCAATAAAAAAATATTAATTCTGAAACACTGTATGTTAGGAAAATGCTTAAAGCAGCAGGCATGATTTATATATGGAGGGAGCTCCACCCATCTGCAAGACAATACACCTTCTTCTCCCATCCTCACATGGTCTGTGTCCTGGAAACAAGCGATTATATCTGTGATACCAAAGGCTGGAAAAGATAAGACAGAATGCGGCGCATACAGACCTAATTTAATGTTGACCACCAGGACAGGATAAAATATTTATTAAGAAAATATTTGATTTAATAGCTTCAGAAGTATCAGGTATTCTTATTTATGCTGGGGACTGGGATGTACAGTTGCATCCTACCATAGACTCTTCAAATCCAACAAAAAAAGATTAATTCTGAAACACTGTACGTTAGGAAAATGCTTAAAGCAGCAGGCATGTTTGATATATGGATCATATATACTTGAGACTTCATCTTGATGTTCAATCTAAGAACACTGTTTGGAGATTAAATACTAGTCTTCTAAATGATCACCAATGTGAAGAATATATTAAAAAAGAAATTAGGGACTACATTGAATTTAATAATAATGAGGATGTGTCACCATGTGTAATATGGGATGCGGCTAAAGCGGTGCTGAGAGGAAAGCCCCTAAAGTGGTCCTCAAGAAAAAAGAAAGAAAAACAGAAGTTTGGCTGATTTAACAAATACACTAAAGACATTGGAACACAAACATATTGAATTAAATGAGCCTACATTTTTAGATGAAATAAAAGTGATAAAACAACAAATAAATAAGATGCTTGACAAACAAGTGGAGATTAAACTCAAATATATTAAACAGAACCCCAGTGTCCTGGAAACAAGCGATTATATCTGTGATACCAAAGGCTGGAAAAGATAAAACAGAATGCGGAGCATACAGACCTATTTCAGTGTTAAATATAGATTATAGAATATATGCTTCAATAATAGTTAAAAGATTAGAAAATATAATTCCTGATTTGATTGATACTGACCAAACTGGATTTGTTAAAAGTAGGCAGACACATGATAATGTGAGACGTGCATTATTTTTGTTCGAGAGCATGAGCAAAAATACTTCCAAATCCCTGGCAATTAGCCTGGACGCGGAAAAAGCTTTCGACTCGGTGCGATGGGAGTTTTTGTATTTAGTATTGCAACGTTTTGGCTTTAATGAAGAGGTTATAAGAAGTATTTATATTAGCTATTATTTACCAACAGCCAAGATTAAAATAAATGGTAATGTTTTAAATGGTAAACTCGATTACACTGGAGTGGGGATGTCGTCAGGGATGCCCCTTGAGTCGCACGCTTTTTGCACTATTCATAGAGCCATTAGCTCAGGCAATTAGAGAAGATACAGAAATTCTAGGAATTCCAATGAAAGAAACCGAACACAAAATATGCCTGTATGCGGATGACATTCTTATGACTATTTCCGAGCCAGATTCCAGTTTACCTAAACTCATGTCTTGTCTTGAGCAGTTTGGTTGGTATTCAGGATATAAACTAAATTTACACAAAACCCAAACCCTCTCTTTTAATTATTCACCACAGGAAAATATCCGTAAAAAATATAATTTTAAATGGAAAACAAACAGTATTAAATACCTGGAGGTTATCATACCAAAGAATTTGGCTAAAATTTATATTTCTAATTATGGATCTATTACGAAGGAACTGAAAGCAGACTTGGATAATTGGACACCTCTAACTTTTAGTTTGTATAATCGAATAGAAATGATAAGGATTAATGTTTACCGCGATTATTGTTTTCAAATCACTACCTGTAGAGATACCAAAAAAACTATTTAATGACTGGAACCGAATGATCTCAAGATTTATATGGAAAGATCAGAAACCCAGGGTAAGACTTAAAACACTACAATTACCAATGAAAAGGGGAGGACTGTCTCTTCCCTGTTTGGGGGATTATTATAAAGCAGCACAATTAAAATATCTAGTTTGCTGGTGTATTGATGATTATGAAGCAAAATGGAAAGAATTAAAATTCAAACAGCTAGACTTTCCTCTCCCTTCTTTATTAGGGGACAAAACTACTAAGATTATGTACTGTAACAAATTAAGCAATTGGACATTAGTTCCTCTTAATACTTGGTTCAAAGAATGCAAAACTCTGAAGTTGGAAAGACAAGCATGGCTGCTAAGATGGGTGGCATATGATAGAGACTTCAAACCTGTACAGATGGATGTGCGGTTTAAACAATGGATATGGAATGGCATTACATCATATTGTACGGTTTCATCCAAGATTGGTTTAGAAAGCTTCCAACATCTTATTGATACCTATAATTTAGAGAAACACGATTTCTATAGATATTTACAGCTTAGAAATCACTTTAATAAAAATATTGAGGAGGCAACTGAATTGAGTCTCATAAACGTTTTTGCTGATGCATATAAAGGTGGTATGCACAAGAAACTGGTGTCAAAAATATATTCATGTATATACAGTCGTCTCACTCTACCTTATATATTAAAGAAAAATGGGAGAAGGAGGCGAATATAATTCTAACGGAAGAAGATTGGTTAAACATATGTAAGTCACAGCATGCAACCTCCAGTTCTGGTCAGTGGAGAGAATTCTCATGGAAAAACGTCATTAGATTCTTTATTACTCCAAAAAGAAAATATTTACAGAATGGTAATCCAGAATCTGTACTTTGCTGGAGACGATGTAACAACTCAATGGTGGATTATTTTCATATATTCTGGAACTGTCCGGCAATCCAACCATACTGGTTAATGGTAATCACTGAAATAGAATCAATACTGGGTTTTGAGATTGATCATAGCTTTGGTACTGTATATTTAGGAAACATACCAACTGATTTTAATGCTCAAGACAAGTACCTTCTCAGATTGTTATTGGTTGCTAGTAAAAAAAGCAATAACCAAGAAATGGCTGGATGAGAATCCACCAACAAAAAAAGAGTGGATAGTGATTGTAAAGGTTTGATATGGAGAAAATGACCTTTTCTCTAAGACCAAGTATGGATACATTTTATAAGAACTGGTCGAAATGGTTAATACACAGGAAAATAGATAGTACATAAATAGATGTTAAGTGTTTTACAGTGTACTGAAATGTATGGACTTCAATTAACCTTTTATTTTTATTTATTTATATTTTTATTATACCTCTTCCTCTTGTGTGTGTATGGGGGGGGGTATTATTGGGAAAGTAACCCCTATTATAAAAATAACTGTATAAGAAGGATGTAAGCACTATATGTGATGCCTCTGGTGACCTGTATGTTCAATTCTTTATTTATTTTGTTTTCTTTTTTCCCCTTTTTTATGTGTTTTTTGTTATGTTACAAGAAATACAAAATAAAATAAAAAAGTAAAAAAAAAAGAAATGTTTCTTAAGCACCAAATCAGCATATTAGAATGATTTCTGAAGGATCATGTGACACTGAAGACTGGAGTAATGATGCTGAAAATTCCATCTCAAGAATAAATTACATTTTAAAATGTATTACAATAGTAAACTTCTTTTAAATTGTAACAGTATTTTACAATAATACTGTTTTGTATTGTAATGCATGTAAAAAAACAGGTCCAATTACTTTAAAATCTCGATTTTTAGTGTTTAATTGTCAGCCATTGTTGTTTAAATGTGAAAATAGTGTTTTCAACTGCCCTAAAATATACTAACCTCTCTCTCAATATTTGTTTTTATTGCAGAACTGTCCCAACAATATTAGGAAGCGTGTGCCTCAGACTCAATTTGCTGAGATGTTTCTGCACAGTATTCCAGTGCTCCAATGGGCAAAGCATTTTAGTCCAGTAGAGTACCAGCGGTTGAGTCACTACGGTGGAGCACACGGCTGGGGAAGTGTCAGTGCTGAAGGTGTGTCTTTGGGGATCTGCTTCAAGTCACTAATCTTCTAAAACTTCAGATGTACCTGCTCAGTCTTTTTATTGTCCAAGGTTTCAGAGTGATATAGCCGTGCCATTACTTTTTGTGCCTGGGTTTTGACAGTATTTTTAGCTAATACAATCATTTAGAAAAAAACAAAAACCTAGATGCAAAATTTTAAACAGGCTACACAGAATTCACTATTGCCAGAAGCAATTAACAGATAAGAACTTAAACTTATTATATAAATAATTAGGGGTTAAAGTTACATGATACGTCTAACATGAACTATTTCTCTTTTTTTTTGGATTTGTGTCTGTTGTTGTTCACAGTTTTGAATAGCTCACTGGCAATTTTAAATACACCTGCAAATCGGTTGATGTTTGATGACTGGGAGAATAGAGCACACAGATCCGAGTGCATTCGCTGTGCTGTGGTGGGAAACGGTGGAATACTGAATGGTTCAAGGAAAGGCAAGGAGATCGATGAACATGACTATGTCTTCAGGTGAGGAGGTTGATCATTAAGAGATAATAATATTTATTAGGTTGGTGCTCCTCAAAGTGAGGCAAATCTCAGAAAGAAAGTATTTACATGTTTTGTGCACATCTGATACTGTTGTCTGAAAGTCTGACTGATTTGTATGATTATTTTAATGGTGTAGTTTTCCTTTAAATCAATGTTTCTGGTTATGTTTTAATTATTTAGACTCTTCTCTCTCTCTAAAAACGAAGGTTGATGATGTTTATTGATTAATATCACAATAATTCTCTTCTTTGGTCTCCCATCTGTAGGGTAAATGGTGCGGCTCTTACAGGGTTTGAGAATGATGTGGGATCGCGGACTTCATTCTACACATTCTCAACCAACACCATGCGAAACTCCATGCGTAGCTATGCTCGCGTAGGCTACAAAGGTCCACCTATATCCAAGGTAAACATTATTAAAATATAAGACTCACTAACTCCACTGTTTGTCAAAATTATTATATTTTATTGAGCGAAATTGAGTCCTTTGACTATGATCTGTTCTATGACAGACTGGTTTTGATTGGACTATCCTCAGATTCAGAGAAAACGGAGTGTGAAAGTTGATAATAAAGCAAATACATTTTCTCACTACACACTCTTAAAAATAAAGGAGCTTCACGATGCCATAGAAAAACCTTTTTGTCTAAATGGTTCCATAAATAACCTTTAACATCTGAAGAATCTTTCTGTTTCACAAAAGGTTCTTTGTGGCGAAAGAAGGTTCTTCAGATTATAAAAAGGTAAGAAAGAGATGGTTCTTTAAAGAACCTTTGACTGAATGGTTCTTTGTGGAACCAAAAATGGTTCTTCTATGGCATCGCTTGAAGAACCTTTTGAAGCACCTTTATTTTTAAGAGAGCAGTTTACCTTATGCATTTTATTACACTGCAATCAAGGTATGTCTTCCCTGGAAATGGAACCCACGGTGTTGATAGGGCCTTGTTCTAAAAGTTAAACACCCTTTTTTTTTTTAGGGAAGTGTGTTGATGTTGAGTTGGGAGGTTGTTTGCTGCTAACTATCTCTTATTTCTGTTTATCTCCATCTGTGTAGGAAACCAGGTACATATTCCTGCCAGACCATGACAGAGATTATATTCTTATGAAGGCGGCTTCCACACACACAGCAATTGATCAAGGCCCTGAGCGCAGCAAAAAGTAAATATAATAAAAAACTTTATGTAAACTGACACGTCTAAAGTTCCTTACGCGCATCCTTGATCACTACATCAGATAAAGCCCATCTCTCACGACATCCAACTCTCACTAAATAATAAGTGTAAATAATTGACACTTTTAAAATATAGCACATTATATACTCAAAGAAGACTCAATTTAATTATAATGCATATCTCTTTCAGTCCCCCTACATACTTTGGTGAAGATGTGACAGTAGAAAAATTCAAAATCTACCACCCAGACTTTATCCGCTACCTCAGAAACAGGTAAGCTTTGCAAACAAACACTAATGTACACTCGCATAGTAGTTATTGCAAAATTAATCCTAGACGGAGAGATCAGCTGCACATTTTCCCGCTTATTGAAGGACTGCTTCCAAAATACACTGCTGTTCAAAACTTTGGAGTCTTTTTTTTTATGTTTCTAAAAGAAGTCTCTGCATTTATTTGTTCAAAAATACTGTAAAAACTATAATATTGTGTAATATTATTAAAATTTGAAATCTGTTTTAATTTAAATTCAAATTCAAATGTAGTTTATTCCTGTGATGGCAAAGCTGAATTTTAAGCGTCACATGATCATTCTAATATGCTGATTTGCTGCTCAAGAAAATATTTCTTATCATTATCAATGTTGGAAACAGTTGTGCTTCTTTCTTCTTCTTTTGTGGAAACCGTGATTTTCATTTTCAGGACTCTTTGATGAATAGAGTTCAAAAGAACAGTTGAAATTGTGTGAGAACAAAGATCCCACTGAGTAATATGTGACCCTGGACCACAAAACCAGTCTTAAGTCGCTGGGGTATATTTGTAGTAATAGCCAAACTAACATTGTATGGGTCAAAATTATCGATTTTTCTTTTATGCCAAAAATCATTAGGATATTAAGTAAAGATCATGTTCCATGACGATATTTAAAAATTTTCTTACCGTAAATATATCAAAACTTAATTTTTGATTAGTAATATGCATTGCTAAGAACTTCATTTGGACAACTTTAAAGGCAATTTTCTCAGTATTTAGATTTTTTTTTTTGCACCCTGAGATTGCAGATTTTCAAATAGTTGTATCTCGACCAAATATTCTAGTCCTGTCCTAACAAACCATACATCAATGGAAAGCTTATTCATTCAGCTTTCAGGTGATGTATAAATCTCAATTTCGAGAAATTGACCCTTATGACTGGTCTTGTGGTCCATGGTCACATATGAGAGTGGCCATTATACACAAATATTTTTGACCACAGATCATCCAGAATTGGTTGGATGATTTAAATGGATTGGATGATCTTTTTTGTTTTGTTGGTCTCCATTTCTATGTATGTGTTGTAGTTTAACACTTTCCTTTTTCTCATCAAGGTTCCTGCATTCAAACCTTCTGAAAACAGGCGCGAGAAGAATTTACAGGCCGTCGACAGGAGCAGTGATGCTCCTAGCTGCTATTCATACATGTGACCAGGTTTGTTTGCTTTGTTTTTTTAATTGAGATTTTAATGAAATCAAACTTAGGAATGTGCCCTGCTTTAAAATGAGTAGCAACACCCATATCCTTTTCTGTCCAATTTTAAAAGTGTGTCACAATCGATTACAACATAATGACGGTGTTGTAAAGATCATTGTACCTAAACTTGTATGCAAACACTTAGAATAACTTTACAAGTTTGTCAAAGGTTTAAACACTTCTTAATGATACTTATTTAACATATGCTAGATGTGTAGTCTAAACAGACAGGACAGGTGACCTTGATTGTGACATATTAAAGACGCACAGCAACAGTATTGCTGTAATAAAACCAACCCAGGCTCATCAAAAAAGCATTCAAAATGTTCCTATACATAAAATTCACTGCTGTTTTTGTTCCTTCTCAAACAAATTATGATTGTGGGGCAGATTATCTATTAACAAAGTATTATTTTCATGCGGTTCCTTGCATAATACTATGTTAGGCCCTCAAAAACGTTTTACCATATGCATGATTTGTTTAGAATACATTTTGACATTTGCAAAACATAACCAGCTCCACATAACCGGCTTTTCTCTGTAGTAAACTTGCTCGGAAGCTCACCTGGTACAGCATTGCACTAGAGATGCGGCACGATCGTGTACGAGTCTGGTAAAACATGAGTCATGATCAAAGCTCAAAGACTCATAGAAACAAGCTAAAATTACATGGCTGCTTCAGTAACAGACACAAAACAAAACAAAAAAACAATGGCAATAATATCAGTTAGGCTTTAGTGTAGATTCAAAGCCTATTATTATTTTCAAATGATGGCATATTCACCTTTTAACCTTTTTTTGTCTGCCAAGGAAAGTTAGTGATATGATGATGTTTGTTTTATTAACAGGTTGATGCTTACGGGTTCATGACCCCTGACTACACTTTGTATTCAGACCACTACTACGACAAACAGCGCCGTGCAGTGCATTTCTATGCCAATCATGACATGCGAATGGAAATGAGGTTGTGGCAAGAGCTGCATAATGCCGGACTGATCAATCTCTTCATGCGCCAATAAGCACAAATGGATGGACGCTACACATTGTATAGGGTGTCTCTTATTGTCAGAACTGAAAAACCTCTGGTAGGCGTGTGCAGGACAAACCTGATATTCTCCCCTCGGTATTAGACATATTCGCCTTCTGAAGGAAAAGTTCATAAATGTTGCTCAACAAAAAACTACGTGCAGAAGCTATGTAGTCAATATTTTGGATTGATTGTCTTTTGAGTCAGTTCATATGAGAGAAATGGCTGACTTATGTGTTTTAGGGAGAGGCCTTGTAAACATAGATAGTGTTCAGGAATAACTGAATAACTCTTGTGTTCTTGGCTGCTATTTGTTCACACATTGAATCATTTCACGTCAAGGCCGGGCAGGATGAATTACATGCTTTGGGCCACGTACAAAGATTCTGTAATACGTGCCTTAGGACTTCTCAAACGATGGACTGTCATGACGTGTGAGAAACAGTGAGAGTTTAAAAGATTCAGAGAATCACACTAAGTGAAAAATAATCAACCAAAGAGAATAATTTAAATGACTTTATTTAAAATTCTTAATCCTATATTTTTAACATGGTGTGTGAGTATACATGTTTCTAGATGGTCTGTTCAAAATTTACCTGTTGCCATGTTGCATCATGTGGAAATCAAGAAGGGTTTTCTGTTTTTAAGATACTTTTTATGCCTTAGGCTATGTTACGGCTTAACTTTACTTGGAAGCTTTAAAGTGCAATAGCTTATGGTTCACAAGCTGTTTGAATCAAAATGTGAATTTCTTTTGTGATTTATTTGATCCTGCTATGGTCTGTTTGGTCACTTGATGCTATCTCTTGATTGTATTTAACAAATTGTTTACCAAATAATTTAACACTCTGGGCAAATTAACTGGTTTGGAGATTCACCACACTCCTGGTTCAGGAGTTCAAATGTCATTCCACTTTTATAAAACGGTTAAATATTTTTGGAAACAGATGCTAGTAACAAAAATTGAAAGTTGGTCCTGCAGCAAGGCAAGGGCGTATTTTAAGCTCATAATAAATCCTTTGAAATGGTGTTGTTGAGTATAAATGATATGCCTCCGTTTTGTCTCAGAATGCTGTGAATATGGCCTTAGTTATTGTGTGGAAATCAATTCTATATAGTTTGGTTTAAAAAGAACTTGAACTTAAAAGTAACCTTAAAAGTGTTTAGAGCGAAATCTAAGAGATAGATACATAGTCTAACTCCCAGTATGCTGGTATTATTTTACTTTTCGTTGTCTCCATTATATTTATGTTTCTGTGTACCTAAGGGGTGAACTGACTCAAGTAATGTCAGTTTTCATTATGGAGCTAAATATATGCACCAGTTTATATAGCACTGTACTTTCAGTTAATGGGCTTAATTATACTATCACTTCCTTCAGGAATATGTGTTCACATCTAAGATAAATACAGTTTGAGGTCTGCAATGTACAATAATATCCCTAAACAACCTGTCATCAGGCCATAAATCAATACTTCATCTAGATTTCAATATATTTTACATTTACGGAGAAAAAAAAATACGCATATGCTCAAAAAGTAAAGGTTACAAAAGGGTGTTTTCACAGTGATGCCATAGTAGAGAACCATTTTAGTTCCCCAAAGAACGTATCAGTGGACAGTTCTTAGCAGAACCATTTTTATTAGTGTGAAGAACATTTTAACCTTTTTTCACATTTGTCTACATCGTCACACTTTGTCACCGGGAGACTAAAGTCTGCTTCGTCCCAGTATTCAAGAATCGGCGAGTCATGTGTTTTAAATACCAATAAAAGAGAAAAATTATTTTTAACGATGAGACAAACCATATTCTAAAGGCTATTGCAAGGGTTGCTCATAAACTAGAAGAATTCTGATAACGTTGCAACTTGTGATTTGCAGTTCCTGCCCTCTTCTGCCATCTAGTGTTAAATGTTCGCAGTTGCAGTTTTATTCGTCATATAAATAATGTGTACACACCTCAGTTTAGTGCGCCGTCGGTGTAATTAAAGGTCGAATTATAAGACCTGAACACGGAGGCACTGAATGTGGTTTGTTTACCTCTGAGTTCGAGACGTCCATCTCTATCAATGTCTGCTGACTCCATAATGGCCTGTGTCTTCACCTGACACGGGCGCCTGGGGCACAGAGCATGGACAAAATATATCCGAGATAGATGTTCAGCCAGAGATGAGGACTGGATGCACAAACAGACTGACAATGTAAAGGTGGGCTGTGAATGCTTAAATTACAGTCTTGTGATGAATTTCACACTGTTAAATGACAGAATGTGGGTGTTTCTCTGCTGCTTTCTTTATCTATTTACACTCACTGTTGTTCACTGTTGTCTTTATTCAGAGATTTCACGTTTTTTTTAAAGCAGCACTATGTAACTTTTTCTGTATTCAAAATTAGCAAAATTCATACATCATGAATTCATCTTCCAAACCGCGTTTTTGTCTTATTCCGAATCACAACGGTACACTTATAATAAGTACTTATATTTGGACTACTGTAGCCTGGTCGGGTCGTCACCGCTGCGGAGTAACACATACCTGCGTGAATCGCCATAGACATTAACTTAGAGAAGTAGCCCCGGTTGGAATGTTCTTCCGCGGGATGTGTGCAGTTCTGTTTATTAACCGCTGGAGCGCCAAAAGTTACATAGTGCTGCTTTAATAGATTCCTCCTGCACTTCTGAGGATTTAAACTCTGTCATGAACTCTAGAAACCTACTGTATTTCTCTGGTGAGAGAGGAAAGGACCCCATTCCATAACTTGAAGACACTTTATGCCTGTGAAAACTTTTCTCAAGATGTTTTTGCAAGCGTTACATACATCTGAATTTGATGCTGCAGTTACATGGACATGTAATGAGTCAAACAAAAAAGGAACATTTTTTAAAAAAATGTTGGAATTACCATTTGACCCCACTGACAATATATAAAATATCATATACGTTTGAGTTTTTTTTTTCATCTATTCATACAGACAACTGTAGTATTTTTATAATGCAGTGAATTCTTACCTTGTTGCCTCGTCTGGAATTTGATCAATGTCTTTCTCACTCAGATTCACCATCATGCCCAGAGCAACTTCAGCTGCAGTCCAAAGCCATCTGCTGTTATGTCAGCTGAAAGTTATTTGGAAGTTTCAGTAGGTTGGTATCAAAATAGATGTAAAGCAACATTTTAGCTCCAGTAACCCTCTCTACATGCTTGTGTAAGCATAAAGTCTTTAATAATAATGACTGACGCAGAGATGTTATCATGTATAAATGAGTGTCTGCAGGACGGGTGCAAGATATTTTAATAATTGTAATTATCATTAACTCTCACCATTTGAATAATGAGGGGGATGAAGTCTTGAGTCTATGGCTCTTCTGAGAGGCAGCATCTTACTTCCCCAAAGGCACGACTTGCAATATGACTTATGTGAATGAAGCAAAAGTGTGGCCTTAAAAGACCTGGTTGGAGACCAGACAGAAACAGCATTGTTGTTCTTGTTTTACCACCAATAGCCTGTGAATTTATGCAATTAAAGACTGTTCTTTGATAATCTGCCATCATTTATGTCCTCTCTGTATCTTAAAGGAATAGTTCACCCAAAAATAAACATTTGCTAAAAAATATACTCACCCTCAGGGTATCCAAGATGTAGATGTGCTTGTTTCTTCATTGTAACAGATTTGGAATAATTTAGCATTTCATCACTTGCTCACCAGTGAATCCTCTGCAGTGAATGGGTGCCGTCAGAATGAGAGTTCAAACAGCTGATAAAAACATAAGTAAACTCCAGTCCGTTAGTCCACCTGTTAATGTCTTGTGAAGCAAAAAGCAGTTTTGTTTTGTTTTGTTTTTTGTAATAAATCCATCATTAAGATGTTTATAACTTTAAACTGCTGCATCCAGCTAAAATGGAGTCCTCTATCCATAATATTGCTTTCTCCAATAAAAATGTTATCTAGTCTGAATCAGGAAAGAAATATGCACAGATCAAGCACCGTTTTTACATGTTCTTAAGAAATACATCGGCCAGAAGCAACAGTTTCAAGTTAACATGCCTTAGTGATGGATTTGTTTCTTACAAACACGAAAAACAAACTCGTTTACATCTTGGATGGCCAGAGAGAGAGAGTACTTTTTAAGCAAATTTTCATTTGTTGGGTGATTTATTCCTTTAACTGTACTCCGCCAGCAGATCTCTATTTTTGGCATGAGCTTAATACAACAGCAGCTGTTATTTGTATTGGAAATGTGCCTAAAATAAGCAGTAAATTATTTCACTGGCTATTTATAGTCAGTTACAAAGAATGAGGAGTCTTATTCTTTGTCATATTTGTGGTGTTATGCAATGTGAGTTACATAATAGAGCTATAAGCAGTAACATGCATATATTAGCCATCAGATGATTCGTATGTCTTATGTACATTCTTTCTCTTCTCTGTTTTTTTCCCTCTCACATTCAGAAGTTAAATTCCCCCAGTCTCTTAGTAGTATTGACATGGCAGAACACAAGAGGCTGTGCAAATACAAATCGAGCTGATTTAGTGGCTGTGTTTTGCTCTCTCGCGTTTCGCCCTCGGCTCTAGAACTTCAGAAGTGACAGCTCTGATAGCTGTTCACACACATACACCTTGATGTGCGTTAGGTTGTGCTCCTGTGTATAATCACTTTACTGTGTGTCCAGCTTTTGGTTGGCTGTTGCAGTCGGTTAAGGAAGAAGCATGTAATCGAGTTTGCCACACAGCCAAGTGGATCAGAACAGAAGAGGGAAGATGACAAATGGGGGGAAAGGCTAAAGAACACTCGGAGGGCTTTCTGGTTTAAATTAAGCATCCTAAGACACGGCAATTTATTATGTAAGCTGTTACGACTCACGACACAAAGATGCATCATGAAAGAAATTAAATTTCTGCTTTTAGAAATGTATTTATGCCTCATAATGAAAAACACAGCATTTGTCATAGCTGTCACAATATGCAACTTAATCACACGTCATGTTGTACCATCAAAACTGGTTTTAAAGAAAGAATTGCATGTGTGTGTGTTTAAGTGCATTTACTGATTGGCCTCCTCCTGATGATCTCTCTAAACGAGATGTTCTCTCTCTATAATCTGCTGAAGCTCTCAGATCAAACTCAGCTTTACTCAGATGGTCATGAGCACACCAGAGATTCTCAGAGAGGCTTTCAAACCTCTTGAGCAACTCATAAATTATATCTGAGCGCTCCAGCAGAGCAGAATTTCAAAAGTGTGTAGTCATTACACCTATTGAGTGCCTTTTCATTAAAAATATCACCACGTCTTTCCTTCTGTGTAGAAAATATTGCACGCAGTGTTGCAATTTTTGCAATAATGTTGTCTGTAATTGGCAGTTCTTGTCCCTCTTTGTTTTAAAATGTCAGATAATGCACTAATCAAGCATAATGGACATGATCGTGAGAGACAGCTATCACAGGATTGGCAGTCGGTGCAACTTTCTACAACAATCAAGTTGCACTGTCTAAACTGGAGGCGAGCGGCACGATGCGACAAGACAAATGACAATAGAACCCATTATAATCAGTGATCCTGTCTACACTGGATGCGGCGCAACACGACAAATCCCTGACAGTAAACTGATGCCTCGTTCTATTTATGACGTACTGACACAAAGTACAAATGATTTGCAGCGGTCTTGCCCAGTGTATACAGCTAACCAATCCTTCTCTTAATGCTTGCTTCTACGGTAATAACAGCACAAAAATAAATAAAAGCACTTTTACTGAAGACTACTCTCTTTAATCACCACAGGCTTTTAAAATGTCAGATAATGCACTAATCAAGCATAATGGACATGATCGTGAGAGACAGCTATCACAGGATTGGCAGTCGGTGCAACTTTCTACAACAATCAAGTTGCACTGTCTAAACTGGAGGCGAGCGGCGCGATGCGACAAGACATGACAATAGAACCCATTATAATCAGTGATCCTGTCTACACTGGATGCGGCGCAACACGACAAATCCCTGACAGTAAACTGATGCCTCGTTCTATTTATGACGTACTGACACAAAGTACAAATGATTTGCAGCGGTCTTGCCCAGTGTATACAGCTAACCAATCCTTCTCTTAATGCTTGCTTCTACGGTAATAACAGCACAAAAATAAATAAAAGCACTTTTACTGAAGACTACTCTCTTTAATCACCACAGGCTCCAGAAATTTGAGACGTTTTCAATAAATATTGGAATCTCAGTCTGTTTGTACAGATTTAGTAGCCTACTAGGAGTGTTTAGTCTTCTCTTTATAAATGTGTGCAATAATTGTTGTACTATATGGTTGAGATCTTAGAAAAGTTTGGTATTGGTAAGATTTGTTAACTATTTTGAACCCTTAAGTCTCTTATACCAAGATTGCATTTATTTAATTATAAATTCAGTAATATTCAGAAGAAACATTTCGTATTATTATTATCATCAGTGTTGAAAACATTTGTGCTGCTTAATATTTTTGTAGAAACTGTACCTTTCTGTTGAGTTTCTTTGATAAATAGTAACAACGGTATTTATTTGAAATATAATTTTTTTTTTGGTAAATAAGTTTACGTAATATTTTTATACGTAAGACTTTTTACTCCATCATTTTACTGCATCGTTGCTGAATAAAAGAACTACATTTAAAAAAATAATAAAATCTTCCTGACCCCAAACTTTTGAATGGAAGTGTGTAACAGAGCACAACAGTATTACCATTTGATGCCATTACTGTACCATAGTACGGCCAAAGTATTTTTTTAATGGTATTGTATGTGGTGCACCTCCATGTGATAAAATGTTTTCAAAGTCAACATGAAAATATTTACATTCATAATACACATTTTGGTCTTATTTTATATGATTTATATCTTACCAGCAGGGTTTCATTTTCATTGTACATGTTAATTGACTGTATTCATTGTGTCACTTACATTATCACTTCACTGTTATTTAGTTCTCAGAAACATGCAGCTATCATACTGATTAGCTTTGTAAGACTATAAATGGTACACTAATTTCATGAGAACATAAATAAATTAGCATGGCACAGTGATGGTATCCAATGGAAAAACTGAGGTACTTTAATAGAACACCAAGATGATAAACAGTAAAGACATTTTTTCACAGCTTGTTTTGCTAATATTTTCCAAGGGTGCCAAGGACACTGTATAGGCTTAAGCTCATGTGGGTGTTATTGGTGTGTGCTGTGTTAATGAAAGTTGTGTGTTAAGCTTTGTGTTCAGGTCGAGCCCTTCAGCTCATGTGGTTCAGAAGAGGCTAATGATGTGTTTAATTATTTGAGCTCAAGTCTAATTATTTGATGTTAACATTATTCTGGGATTATGGCTCCCTGGTGGAGACTTAACTTCTGCAGGCATTTTTTGTTGGTTGAGGCTATTTAGTCTGCTCTGGATATTTAAGACCATACTGGACTCTCAGATCAATTAAGAAACATCTGCTCATTTCCCCTTGTGTGGTATTATTTATATCTGATTCTAAACTGGGGGTCATGTAGCTAAAATGTTCATGATTCAGTATAGTCTAATGCTTTAGTATGTTCTATGGGATACCTGATAAATCTCTTGTGGATAAACTATGCTCACACTTCCTCTTGCCTTCACTCTTGGTCTCTCCCACTTATACACTGTTAATATCTCAGTCAATGAGACTAGCCAGTAACTAATGCAATTTTGGAGGGAAGTCTCCTGTCTGAGCACCCTTTAAGAGGTTGTGTTTCAGCTCCAATGCACTCATAGCCAGAATGACTATTTAGATAACAAGTAAATGCACATACTATGCATTTGTGCACCAGCAGTTGTATCCGTTTCTCATGAGCTTAAAAACGTTTTATCTAAATTCCCAGATGATTGAAAATGGTTTTGTAAAAAAAAAAAAAAAAATTTACAAGTTTTTTCACTACTATTCAAAAGTGTAGGGTCAGTAAGATTTTTTTTTAGAAAGTCTCTTGAAACCTCCACCGCTCGATAAAAATATGCAGCAAAAATTTAGACGACTTTAGAATTGTGAGATATAACATATATATATATATATATATATATGTGTGTGTATGTTTGTGACATTAATTGTTGGTGAGATCAGACAATATATAATTTTTTTGATCGTGTTTGTGACATTCATCATTGGTGCAGGCTTGAATCCAGTATGGGTCATGTCCTGATCCCATTTCCCCTCTCTCTCACTCCATTTTCATGTTTCTATTCTATGGTCCTCTACATAAAAAGGCACAAAGACTAAAAAAGAGAGGGAAAAAAGCATAGAAACTCAGGGTTTTCTGTTTTTTACCTGCAGGCATGTGAACAGAGGCAGATTTCAGCAGTGCGTGTGAGTGTGAGAAAAAGTGGGAGAGCGAAAAAAGAAAGGTGCTTTTAACATTCATCTCAGCACTGTATGAACACACTCACTATCTACAGCGTTTCCACGGCAACATTGACAGAGTGACATGTTGTATCAGACAAACAGAATGCTTGACATTATGACTCTAGCCTCTGAACCAGCTTCCTGTTTATTATGACAACCAAACACAGTGTAAGGGCATATGCGTTCATGTCTTCAGATTTGGAAACAGGACATAGTCTTTAAAGGTGAATGCTGCTGAAGTGTATTGACTTTGATGATACTATATCTTTTATCTTGTGCTATACTTATTTTAAGCCTCTGTGTCTTTGTTGTTTTCGAAGATCTGTTGTGCTTTTCCAAGAGTAAAGCCTGTTTTTAATTTTCTTATTTTTTGACAATTTAAATGTTTGATATATTTTCAAATATAATTTATTCCTGTGATGGCAAAGCTAAATTTTCATCAGCCATTAACTAAGCATATTACAAAATTTGATGTGCTAAAACGGTCTTTTTATGATTTTTATGTTTTTGCATTTTCTTATACTCACCAAAGCTGTATTTATTTGATCAAAAATACAGAAAAAAAATAGTACTATTGTGAAATATTATTACAATTTAAAATAACCGTTTTCTATTTTTAAAATGTAATTTATTGCTGTGATGCAAAGCTGAATTTTCAGCATCATTACTCAAGTCTTCAGTGTCACATGATCCTGCAGAAATCATTCTAATATGCTTCTCTGGTGCTTAAGAAACATTTCTGATCTCCATCAACACTGAAAATATTTTTTGCTGCTTTGTGTTTTTTGTGGAAACTGTGCTACATTTAAATAAATACAAATAAATAAATAAAAATCATACAAGAATCAAACTTTTAGTGAATGTTTCACATAATGATCTTAAAAACCCATTGACTGGAAGGTTTATGGTTAAAGGTTTGACACTGGTGTAAATTGTGCCAATGTACACGTATCTTAAAAAAGTATATTATTATTATTATTATTAGTTGCAGTAGTAGTAAATGTATTATTACTGACTAAAGAATTAGCAGGTGAGTCCAGACTTTGTTCTGGAGGAGTTTACATATACAGGTGCATCTCAAAAAATTTGAATATCGTGGAAAAAGTTATTTTTTTTGTAACTTATTTCAAAAAGTGAAACTTTCATATATTCTAGATTCATTACATGCAAGTAAAACATTTCAAAAAAATTTTTTTTTTTTTAAATTTTGATAATTAGAGCTAACAGCTCATTAAAGTCAAAAATCCAGTATCTCAAAATATTAGAATATTTACATTTGAGTTTTATTAAATGACAATCCCTACAGTATAAATTCCGGGTATCTCTTGTTCTTTGAAACCACAATAATGGGGAAGAATGGGGAAGAAATGGGGAAGACACAGTTTTGCGTAGGGCCCCCAGAAGTCTATGGTCGGCATTGCTAGCAATTATGCAATAATCCAGGTGTTTTCCCATGACTGTCATCATTAAAAAGTTGTGACCCATCAAACAGTTCCGCGAATTGTAATGTACCATTTTTCTTGGTTAAATGTTAGCGTCAGTCACCGCTGCGCTTGTGGCGCAAACTCCTCCCCTCAGCGGATTCCAGCAGAAGCAGTCCGCCTGAGATTCTGTGGAGGAATCGCGGTGAGCAAGATGGCGCTGTGTCGTTCAGCACTGAACAGCTCCCGTCGGGCTTTTTAACAAACACTTTCATTTGAGCTTAAATCAATCAATTAAAACGAAAGCCAGAATTCGTCTTGGGGTTTCTCATTCAGTCGGAACGCAAGGAATGCTCCACAGGACGTTCGCTTCAGTTGGTGCAGAGAAGCAGCAGAACCCACCGCACAGACCCTGTCTACGAGAATGACCAGAGAAGATTCAAATCAACACGGCAATGGCTCGCGGTGAGACCCATCCATAAATCCACCAGTGGATTTATCTGGCTATTCCCCTGTTGTGGCTCTATAACATGGAGGAGCGAGAAAATGATATGTTTGAACAGAAAATAAACTCTTTTATTTAACATCAGAGGCATCGTTTCTGGACTTTCACGTTATCTTCAGCATGTCAGGCACTGTAACACTGCTGGTCATGTCTGCGTCGTTTTTCAACCCTAGTTTTGCGCTGAGCTCTCATTTTGACTCAGGTAGGCTTATTTATATATGCCTGTATCTGTATTTTATGTTTTTAATGCACGTAGTGTGATGTCACATTGTGTTTTTCAGTAAAAGCCCGCTTCTGTGATGATGCGCAAAATACTCCTCTCAGTAGCATATGAAGAGCGAGATCTTGTATTAGAAGCGTTTTGAATGATATTTTATAACATTTGTACAGGGAAATACTCGTAGACTGATCATTTTATTGTTTTTTAACTATCTATATAAGATTGTCTTATTATTTCGGTTCATACACCAGGTGAAAGCAAACAAAATGACTCAATTTGCCTCTCCACATGTCCATTGACTGGCATGCCAAAGGTGAGAGGTGGAGGTGTAAGACTGGGTTACTGATGCACAGGTAGCCATTTCTGATTGGACAAGCAGGACACTATCAACCTCCAGGGAGGTGTGGGTGTGTGTGTGTGTGTAGTGAGCAGCTAATTAAGAATATAATGACTGGTAAATGAGGAAGAGCCTAACCTTCGGTTCATGACAAGGTATATTTAAAATTGCACTCAAAAACAAAGAATTGCATAAAGCATCTTCAATATGCTTATGGTTTATATCATGAAAGTTCTGCCATTATTTACTCATCTTCATAAGATGGAAAGCTCCAGAAATTGGGTAAAGCCACATCAAATAGCTGCAGAAAAGAAACTAGTGGCCTGAAATCGTTCATGACTTTTATTTAGGGTGAATACAGGTAAAGTGAGACACTTTATGATCTGTTGTTGTTTTAAAATAAGATTTTAATTAAGATGAAAAATTGAAAATAAAAAATGTGTTGTGGAAACCATTTTCATTCAGTAATTGCTAGTAAATTTCACAAACAGTTACAGGGAAATGGCAAATAACACATTTGAATTAAACTTTGAAGTAGAAAAACTGAAAAAGTATTTTCTTGTAAAACTCACTAGAATAATCTTATTTACAACTCAAAAAAACACTTTTTACAACCTAATGCTGAATTGTAATGAAAGAATATGCAATAAACATGCTTGATTATCCTTAAAGGGGTCATCGGATGCTACATGCACTTTAACAAGTTGTTTGAACTGAAATGTGTGTTGGCAGTGTGTGTACACAACCACCCTATAAGGTAAAAAAGGTGTTTTTTACACTACCATTGAGAAATTTTAACCGAACTATGTTGCAGACTTTTCATTAGGACCCTAAAGAATCATATCAACTTGTGGAAAATGGGCATCCGATGACCCCTTTAAGTTTCCCACTTTACCAATTAGCACTGGAAAATACTAAAGAAACAAAAATAAAAAACATACAAGAAACAAAAGAAAATCCTAAATAAAATATCAGATGACACTAATGGAAGCTCCGTTACAACCCCTCACATTGTTCTAAACCTGTATTTTATTTATTTATTTTATGAGTGAAGAATCCTCAGAATAGGAAATTGTCCATTTAACAACAGTTTATAGTCTGTCAGGCTCCAGAAAGGGCAAAAACATCGTGGAATTGTTCATATGACTCTTGAAAGTCTTCTGGAGTCATACAATAAATAGTTTTGTGAGAAGAAGACCTGAATTTCAATTTTTTTTTTCTAAAAATCTTGCCCTCCCTTAGTTGTCAGATCAGTTTCTGTCTAGAAAAGGTGTAGGATAAAGCTTGACATCAATGATGTTCATTCGTGAGGCATTTGACGTCATTGACATCCAACCTGATATGACACTTCTAAAGGCACCATATTTGTTCTTCACACAAAGCTGTACTTTTCTGGTCCGCTGGATAAAAAATAACAGCATATGGGTTTGGAACAACGTGAAGTCGAGGAAATGATGATGCAATTTTTGGGTGAACTATCCCTTTAAAGCCTCCCTATGGTGTGAAAATGAGCCACCATGTGGGTTGTTGCCAGTGGTGGATGGTATTCCCTCCCTTCTAAATTAGGACTCAGCTGTGTGTTTGTTGCCTCCTCACATGGTTCCTATGGTTACCAAGAGGGTCTTCAGACTTGGATTTAAGAATCTAAGAAGTGATTCCATTTCTCTGCATTTTTATTATTACCTTCTATGAGATATACTGCTATTAGCTATATCGAAGCCTCTTTTCAGTATTCGTACACCATGTTCCAAATTGACTTTCACAAATTGGAATTTCCATGTTTTACAGTTTCAATTTGGAGTTGCAGACCTCTTCCCGTCCTCCGAATTTAATTATGTCCTTCAGTGGTGATGAAGAGGGGAACAAGGTCTATCTGTCAAAGTGATGAATGGAAGTAGGACTCATCCTGGAGAGTCTGGGAATGATTAGAGGGAGATAAAGGAAACAGAATCTGCTCTTGTAGTCCTGCTGGGCTTGTTTCAGACCAGGATACTGAAGCCTGATTCAAATTGATTCATTTGTGTTTTCTTGAATATTTGAAATGTAAAATTGGTGCAGAAATCATTTTCACTCCGAAACTGCTAGTAAATTTCACAAACCAATCAAGAAATGGTGAGTAACACATTGAATTAAAGGGATAGTTCACCCAAAAATGAAAATTCTGTCATTAATTTCTCACCCTCAAGTCGTTACAAACCCGTAAGACCTTCATTCATCTTGGGAACATAAATTGAGATATTTTTGATGAAATCCGAGAGCTTTCTGACCCTGCATAAACAGCAATGGACCTGACACATAGTAAAGAACATTGTTAAAATAGTCCATGTGACATCAGAGGTTCAACCGTAATTTTATTAAGCTACGATAATACATTTCGTTCGCAAAAAAAAAAAAAGACTTTATTCAACAATTTCCTCTCTTCCGTGTTAGAATTTGATGCGCTTTCACGACAGTACCACGATGAATGCGTATTAGGTTTTAACATGCGTGAATGTGCAGAGTAGAATGACACAGAAGAGAAGAAATGGTTGAATAGCGTAATTATTTTTTGTTTTCTTTGCACACAAAATGTATTCTTGTAGCTTCATTAAATTAACAGTTGAACCACTGATATCACATGGACTATTTAAACGATGTCCCTACTACATTTTTGGGCCTTGAACATGTCAGTTCCATTGCTGTCTATGTAGGGTCAGAAAGCTCTCAGATTTCATCAAAAATATATTAATTTGTGTTCCGCAGATGAACAAAGGACTTACAGGTTTGTAACGACATGAGGGTGAGTAATTAATGGCAGAATTTTCATTTTTGAGTGAACTATCCCTTTAATTGTGAAATTAATAAGTAGTAATGATTTTGAAGTTTGAAGTAATCTTTGTTTTATTTACAACTTCTAAAATAATAATTTTTTTACAGTGTATCTCCTTTCTCTAGAAACATAATTTTGTGTTTAAAATGCAAACGTTGTCACACTTCAGGGTGAAATTTAGGGACAAATTCTGGGAAATCTTCTTTTACCCCATCATTTGCATTTTAATTGCCTTTTAGTTTGTGTTTAGCTGGAAGGTGAATGACTCACGATGACTTGGTAAGTCAGCAGTTATGACCATGAATCATGGTGATGTAGCGCCGAGCATCATTACAGCTGGATCTTCTTAATGGATTCTAAAATTAGTGGCTGTTACAGATGGTTAAAAACAAAACCGTGAACTTTTTCAATAGGTCCAGAACAGCATGGCTCTAGTTAGGCAATTGTTCCTGAGGTTATGTTGAAATGTACTTCTTAGTAGAAACTGAAACGATAGAGAGGCTTGGCGATTGTAATGATGACATCATCTTTCTGGAAGCAGTGTTTGTTGGGTAATTGCTGGTGGTGTTGGCGGCCATCCCATGCCAGCCTCCAGAGCTCAAGTTTCCTGACCGCCAGACAATCGGACTGTCCTGTAGCACTGGGCTCTTCCTAAAAGACCAATTGCTGTTTATTCCCCTCCTGTGAATTTCGCACACGGGATCTGACAGAAGGATCGGTAAGAACATGTTACAATGGATTATAGTAAATTATACGCACGTTGAGATGTGCTAGTGGAGAAACAGGGAAAGACGAAATATGACATAATGAGATTTTGTAACCATCGACAACTTCTTCAAACCGTCCGAAAGAGAGGTAGATGTGTCTGGTTGAGTTTGAGAAGAGAGGATATTTTGTGCTCACGTGTTTATGAAGGACATAGCGGTTACATGATGCACAAGTAGTGGTGAAGGGCATTGAAATGGCATCGGGTGTGATGTAAACAAGCTGGTGAGAGGTGCGTGGCACTATGGTTTAAATGCAATTTTGATTCATTTATGGTTTACTGGATTTAGTGAGTAGAGAATTTAAATATATACTGTTCAAAATGTTGGTGTTTTGTTTTTAATAGAAAGTAATACGTTTTGCAAGGATACATTAACTTCATCAAAAGTGACTATAAAGACATTTATATTGTTGGATTTCTATTTCAAATAAATGCTGTTCTTTTGGACTTTATATTCATCAAAGAATGCATCACAGTTTCCACAAAAATAACTGTTTTGAACATTGATAAAAATAAATGTTTCTTGATTTTCTTGTTTCTTCTTTCAGTGACACTGAAAACTGGAATAATGGCTGCTGAAAATTCAGCTTTGCCGTCACAGGAATAAATTATATTTTTAAATATATTAAAATAGAAAACAGCTTTTGATCAATTAAATGCAGCCTTGGTGAGCATAAGAGACTTATATTAAAATATTAAAATCTTAATAACTTCAAACATTTGAACAGTACTATACAGTTCATTTCACAGGCTTGAGAATTCTGATGCTGGAACATGAGATGTATGCCTCATTTTTAAAAATTTTTCTATTAATGTTGGTCTATATGAGTTGTTGCATGGCTGTTTGCTTGATTTTATGTACCTATTTGTTATACATGTAGCTGAAAAAGCCAAAGGCATGAATTATAAGGGGGTGTCCACATGCTTCAGCGAGCTCTCTGTTATTTTCATGATACATTTGCTCCCATCAGTTCTATTCTAAGTAAAGCTCTCAACACTTCGCTCCAAGCACTGTCGTTTGTTCCTTCAGGTTCAGTTACAAACAAGCTGCCATGATTGGTGCTAATGGC